TTAGAGAAAAGTCTGTCTCTCTGTGTGTTCACCTTTATTGCTGTCCATCGTAAGACACAGGTGCTCCAAGTCCCATATCTGCAACCCCTCTGGGCCACCAGCACGTCAAAGCTCACCCCGTGAAATATCCCCAACAAGCCTTAAAAAAAATTGTGATGTCTTCTTCCTAGATGCCCCTGAGGAGGCTTTACGAAGTTTGTGAGAAGTTTCCCTCTGGCCCCATTACGTTCTGGGGAAGTGAGGTCGGTCACAATGCACACAAGCAGCAAAGTGGTAGGGGACTGGAGAATAAGTTAAAAAAAAAAATCGAGTGAAGCAATGAGGACACGAGTCTTTTCTAAGAATTAAAAATCAGAAAAAGAACATTCACTCAAACGGGCAGCTAGGACAGACTTTCAGTGGGTACTGACGGGAGCTGGGGCAGCCCAGGCCAGGACCGTGTCCTCTCCCTCTAGAAATGGTAGCAAACCCCACTTGGCTATGCCTCTCTTAAGAGCTAGTTGATAAAAATTATGTCTTGTGAAATCGGCAAATAGTCTGCAAAGTGAAATAAGAACAGAAATTAACAGATTAAACTAAAATGAGAAGTTGAAGTCCGGAGGGGGGAAAAAGAGAGGAAGCAGGGGAGATCCCTGATCACAACTGTAATAATTCAAGACCAGATCCTGATCCGAGTTCCCGGCTGGGGTGGACGCCTGGACGTGGGAAGGAAGAGCTTTCCCGGAGTGGCCGGTCACCACCCAGCGTTTTTAGAAAAGGACTACTACCCACTCTAAAAACTATGCCCTCTCTAGGAACACGACATTTATTGTCACAGAATTCTGAGGGCAGGCACAGCCAGGTGCCATTGCTACCAGATGTGTGGCCCAGGAAGGTCCCCGCAGCCCCACGTCACATGAAGAGAATGAGGCTCCACTAAGAGCAATATCTGTGCCCCCAACCAGGTGAGACAGATGTTCGTAAGAAGGGATGAACCCAGATGGAAAGGAGATCAGATTGCACCTTCCTGAAAGGGGACCCAGGCTACCTGGTTCATGAGTGAGAACAGCCAGGAGGAAGAGTTTCGGAGCTCTCTGGGACCTGCGTGTGCTTTCATTTCTCCCAGCGAGCTGTCTCGCGTGGCCCTGCTAGGGGGACTCAGAAAGGGGCTGGGAGAGGTTTGGGATCCACACACAGCATAAGGGGGTCCAGAGGTGGGAAGTGGGTAAAGTGGGCACACAGTGAGGACACTGGAAAGAAAGACCACAAAGATAAAACATCAGGACAGTTGGGAGGTGACAGGACTGCTGTGAGATGTCACGAAGTCACAGGATCCCTGGGGCATGGCAGGGGTCTGCAGAATCTACCAGATGGGGACAAGGAGAGGGCAGAGGGCTGGGCTGCCCCATCTCTGGGTCCCCCCCTTCCATACCCCAGCCGCCTTGGCCAGATCCACCAGAAACCTTCCTTATTGGCATGAGGTGACAGATGGAAGGAAGTCAGAGCATCCCAAAGCTGCCCTGACCCAGAGGCCCTGGCCCTGAGGCCACAACTCCAGCAGGCATCAAGTTTGGTTCTAGAAAGGCCGGGCTACTCCCTGCGCTCTTGACTGGAATGACACATGGACCTACCTAGGCTCTATGTCTGGAAGCACGTGGCTGCCTGGGGAGGCATCTGGGAAAAGCACAGACCCAGCACCTCAGAATGAGCAGCCCCTTTGAGAGGGGGTCAGAAGGGGAACAGACCCGGACTCCAGCCTGGCTCCTCAGATGAGTGGGGCGGGCGGTGAGCCCCAGTCACGGGGCCACCCTTCCCAGGTCATGGTCACTCTACTCCTGCCATCCCTGAGAGCAGGCAGCCTTACTTTTGTGGCCACTGGTGGTCCCTTTCTGGCCATCGGTTAGGAGAATCAAGAGGTTTCCAGGATGAGTGGAAAGGTGGAAAGGATGGGGAAATGAACGTTTGATGGTTGACAGAGAACAGAGCAGCTAACTCGCAAGGGTCAGGAAGCTGCTGTCTGTATACTGTAATGCCCGATTTCTGTCCCATTCAAACTGAGCTGATTGTATTAAGCTGCAGGGGCTGTGGCCAGGATGAACAGATGGGCCCTGGGCGTACACTCCAACCCCACTCTATCCTCCTTCCTCCAGCCCAACCTCCCCCCACCCACCCCGGTTCCTAAAGCCTTGGCTTTGGTGAAGGGCTGGGCACCCAGGGAACCCTATCTCCCTCTGCCCAGCCTCATTTTGATCAGTGCTGCATGTCTGTCTGCTGGGGCAGGCTCAGGGATGCGGGCGATGGAGGCAGAGTTCTCGCAGATGTTTCCTGAGCCAGCTCATGGGGGCCCTGGGCAGGCCATCTGATGAGACAGGGGCCTTAGCATGGGGTCCACACCGACACCCTCCTCCAATTATTCCATGCTACGATCCCTGAACTCTATCCTCCTGGGACTAGCATCGCACTAAGGGGCAGCCCGATTCTGGAGGGAAGCGTGTTGTGCAGGCTAAGTGCACAGATCACTGCTGCACTCACACAGACGAGAGACACGGACCTTCGTGCCTGTCGACCCCTGGAGAGGAAGCCAGGGGAGGAAGTGAGAGGAAAAGCTCCCCTAGAAACTGCCACCAGCTTCTGGGCTGAGTAGGAAAGGCAGAGAATGAAGCACAGGGACGCTGACCCCACGGGTCCCTCTGGGGAGGAGTGGTACGCATGCGTGTAAGTGTGTGGACCATGCACGCGCCGCCCCCCCCCCCCCCACAACGCTCCTCTTCCTTTATGTGTTAGAACACCACCAGCCCATAAGAACTTTCTGCGGTGGTGGAAACATGGCAACAGCCACTTGCCACACATGGCTACTGAGTCATTGCAATGTGGCCAGTGTTTCTAAAGGGACCGAAATTTTCTTTTTACTTGTTGTTTTTTGGTGGGGGGGATGGAGTCTCACTCTGTCACCCAGGCTGGAGTACAGTGGTGCAATCTCAGCTCACTGCAACCTCTGCCTCCTGCGTTCAAGTGATTCTTTTGCCTCAGCCTCCTGAGTAGCTGGGATTACAGACACCCACTACCATGCCACGCTCATTTTTGTATTTTTAGTAGAGACGGGTTTCACCATGTTGGCCAGGCAGGTCTCGAATTCCTGACCTCAAGTGATCCTCCTGCCTCAGCCTCCCAAAGTGCTGGGATTATAGGCATGAGCCACCATGCCCAGCCAACTTTAATTTAAATGTAAGTTTCAGTAGCTACACGTGGCTAGTATTATTGTACCAGACAAATGGACACTAGGGAGATGGGGGAGGGTGGCAGTTAAGGCCCAGACCGCCTGGTCCAAATGCAGGTCCTGCCCCTTGCGTACTGTGACCCCTTCAGAAGGACTTTCTACCTCTCTGTGCCTGTGCCTGGGGGGTGGGGGAGTCTCCACCTGGAAACGAGAAAGCCTAATGACAGTGGCTGGTGCGCTGGCCTCTCTTGTGACGGTCCTTCTGGTGCACGTGCCCTTCCTTCCTTTGGGTCCAGGAGCTTGTGTCCATCCTGAAGCAGCTGCTGCTGGGCGCATACTTGAGGATGGCCCCTTAGTGCAGGCCAAAGAGCCTTGCTGAGCCCGCTCCCAGATGGGGAACCACCCCAGCCCTGGGGACCCTGGTCGGAGAGCCCCCTGCACTCAAACTCCTCCATCTAGGACTTCTGCTACTGGGCCCTCCTTCCCCGCACCCTCTGACCCACACAATCGGAGAGAAGCACAGACCCCAGACCCCCTTTTCCAGAAGAGAGAAGTAAGGCCCGAGAAGTTGAGTGACCTGCCCATGGCCACTTGGCCGGTTGGTGTCAGAGCCAGGACAAGAGCTTGGGGCTTCCACCTCTAGTTGAGGGATCTGTCTGCCCTAGGACACAGCTCTAAGTGCCCCCAAATGCCTCCTGACCTCTCCCCAACCTTTCCTGTCCAGATGCTTGGTCTGAGACAAAGACCAGACCGAGCCCTGACTCTGCCCGCCTGTCGGTGTCAGAGTGCCATCCTCCCGTGACACGTCTTCGCTTCCTTTGCTTCTTAACTCATCTCAGACCTGACACTCCCAGGCCTCCAGGTCTAGGCATGATGACCAAGCAGGGGTGAAACTCTGCCTGCAGCCCAGCTCCCCATGAGCCAACTGCCTCAGCAGAGAACCCACAGAGGACAAGACTGTCCCTAACACCTCCTCTGGAACCCTGGCTGTCCTTTGCACATGGACACCCCCAAACACCCCAATCTATTTTTCTCTGTACTCTAGGTTTGAGAAAGGCTGGGGAAAAGCACGCCCCGTGAAACACTGCTTCCCCCATTGTCCCTCCCCCATCCCTACAAGACCGTGCGTCCCCTTACTATTTCTCCCGGGTGGGGTCCCAGGCCTGGCAGCTATCTGGAGCTGGAGCAGCCCCAGCGTGTGGCAGGCATCACTGTGGGCTCTGCCTTGAGTCTTGATACCCACGCAGAGGGAAAGGAGAATCTAAACAGCCCACCCAGGATGGACGGCAGCCCCAAACCCCAGCAGCACGATCTCGACACACCCCAGAAGGACACCGAAGCCACAGCAGTCGGAACCAGGCTGGAGGAGGAATGGAGGAAAAGGAAGGGCGAGGAGACATCAGACATCGTGCAGGTGGACACGGGGAGCGGGGAGGCAGGCAAGGTGGGGTAGAGGGTGAAAGAGAGCCCTGTGCCTAGAGGTCAGTCCCCAGTGAGAAAAAAGCCGGAAGAGGCTTCAGAAAAAGGAGGTGAGCAGAGGGAGGCCTCCTGCCTCAGTTCTCCTGCTTTTCTTTTAAAAGTTGCCACTCTTAAATACCCAGCACCAGTGAAGTATTATACTTGCGTTAATTAGAAACTCCGAGCTGCATCCTGGCCTTGAACTTCAGTGGATTTGAAATTCATCACATTTAAGTCCTTTTCAAATGAATGTACGTATGAAATGCATTCTAGGGGTTCTCTCACCTCCCGCCAAATGCAGCCCACCTCTTACGCTTCCAAAGCCCTGGCAGAGCAAGCCACTTACCTGGGAACTGATAGCCATAGCTAGGAGCAAATCCGGGGTAGCCACGGCCATAGGTCGCCACGAAGTTGGGGTACCCTTGAACACAAAGAGAAAGATCAGAGTCCTGTTAGCACAGTCCTGCCTCAGGTCTGGGGTAAAATCTCATGGAGGGTGGTACTGAGGAAGAGCCTGAGTTATTTTCCTTCGCAGAATAATTTGTCTCCCATGAGGACTTTTATCAGGGCCTGGGTCACCTCTCTCCTGTGGCCAGGGGCGCCGCTGTCAGCTGTTGCTAATTAACCCACATTTGGGCGGCCAGACCCCGCAAAGCCCATGTACTTTCCTGAACCTTCAGAGTAAATGCCACGCATCCGCACCAAACACAAGGCTTGCGCCGGGCTCTGACATTTGGAGAGCTTACCCTGCATGTACTTTACCTTAATACTATTGACAGTAGGAGATTAAAGTCCTTGTGATGCCTCCTCCTGAGGCAGTGGACAACAGGGCCAGTACCAGACAGATCATGGGATCTCAGGAGTCACAGTTTAGTGGCCAAACTCAGGGCTCACGCTGGGTCTCTGGAGAATGCTAGACCTCCCATTACATGGGAGATGCCAGGATCTTTGGAGAACGGTGAGGGGCTGGGTGTGCATACCACAAAGTGTAGCTGAAAGTCAGGAGCCCCTTGCCGCGGGACTAGATGGGCATTTCACAGCAGATGTATTGTTTTCAGACCCCTGTCTCAGCAGATAACCTAGCAGGTGAGTGGTTCACCGGAAGACGCTTGTGGAAACTGCCACTGGGTTGGCCACTGGGCTCACAGGAAACTCAGCTGGAAAGTCCAGGTGCTGGTGTGACCATCTCAGATCTGTCACTAACCCCCAGTGATGTGGGCTGTCATCCAGCTCTCAGGGAGTCACTGTGGCTGCTCAGCCCACTTCGTTCTTCACATCCCTGCCTGATTCAGGCTACAATGAAGGCCACATGGGCCAGGCTCACTTTGCCTCCTTCCACTCCGTATATTTGTAACCTCGGCACATTCATGCTCGTAAGATGCCACCACGGCCACCCAACCACCACCAAAAGCATGACTTTTGCTTTGACCTTAGAGGTCAATGTCTGGGGTCATTTTTTTGGCTGCCCAGCCCCTGACCCTCTCCCTGCGTGTGAGTCTTGCAGAGGGCCCCCGCTCCAACACAGAAGCTGATAAGGCCTCCCTCCTCCTCTTCCTGGGGTTGCGGGCTAGGTGGCAGCCTTCCTAGGGATCTGCCTCTGGCGCTGGAAAGGCAGAGGAGGAGTGACTGGTTCAGAATTCATTCTGGTGTCAGCAGCAGAACCCAGCATCCAGTGTTGGCAACAGTGGCCCCCTGACCAGGCTATTCCCGGGTTGTCACCTTGGCTAGGGCTAGGGCTCTGACCGCCCAGCTCCCCCAGTTCCTGCCTGTTTTCTGAGTCCTGTTCTCCAGCCATCCTGTTGATTCTCCAGCACTGCCCAAGCTCCTTCTGATAATCTCCTTTGCTGCTTACAGCAGCCGGGGTTGTTTCTGTGGCTTGTTATCAAAACACTGGCAATTACTTTGATGGGTGGACTTATGACAGCCTCCAGGCTCTCTAGCAAGGATGGCGACAGTGACACTTTCCACACGTGTCTCTGTCCTTCTACACAACCCCTTTAGAAACATCCCTGCACACAGCTCTGTGGTCTCATCACCCACTGGCTCAAAGGCTTCTCACACATCACACTGACCACTTTCTGACCCTGCAAAGTGAGGGCCAATGGAAGAGGGTCACTTACTAAATTCCCTTCTCCCTGCACTCGGCACCACGAGTCAGAGCTTGCTTGTCATCCTGCTGCCTACTCAGAGCCTTTGTGTCTTGGAGCTGGGCCCCACCGTCCCTCACTTCCTGGTGGATGTTGGTGCTGTAGCCTCTGTCTAGTATCCGTGGATCTGCCATCAGACCTAGAGCAGAAACTCACAGGTCTGCAATCAGGAGACCTGGGTTCCAGTCCTGCCTCTGGCCCAGGACCATGCCCTGGTGGTGGGGGGGTTTGTTAGGATTTGACGTTTGTGTTCCCCTAAATTCCTATGTTGAAATCCTAACCCACAAGGTGATGACCTTAGGAGGTGGGGCCTTTGGCGTGTGATGAGGTCATCAGGTGGAGCCCTTATGAATATGCCCTTAACGAAGAGGCCACAGAGAGATCCTCTCCCCTTCCAACACGTGGGGACACAGTTAGAAGGTGCCAGCTATGAGGAAGTGGGCCCTTCCCTTACCACACATGGAATCTGCCAGCACCTTGATCTTTACTTCCCAGCCTCCAGAACTGTAAGAAATAAATGCTTGCTGTTCGTAAGCCACTCGTCTATGGCATTCTGTGACAGCAACCTGACTTAAGGTAGGAGTCTTCCTGGCTGGGCGCGGTGGCTCACACCTGTAATCCCAGCACTTTGGGAGGCCAAGGTGTGTGGATCACGAGGTCAGAAGATCGAGACCATCCTGACCATGGTGAAACCCCGACTCTACTAAAATACAAAAAATTAGCCGGGCGTGGTGGCACGCGCCTGTAGTCCCAGCTACTTGGGAGGCTGAGGCAGGGGAATCGCTTGAACCCAGGAGGCAGAGGTTACAGTAAGCTGAGATTGTGCCACCGCACTCCAGCTTGGTGACAGAGCGAGACTCCATCTCTAAAAAAAAAAAAAAAAAAAAAAAAAGACAGGAGTCTTCCTTTTTCTCCCGGAGCCCAAGTCTTGTCACCTGTAGAAAGCCTTGCAGGTCCCTTGCAATAGTGATGTGCCCAAATTCTCAAATGAGACCAGCTGTGGCTCCACTCCCTTGCTTCTGCCAGAGCCTTCCCAAGTGTGCGGTCACCACTCATTCAGTGGCCCATGGAACTGACCCTACCTCCACAGGATCTTGCCACCTGGTCCTTCCCGTGTGCTTATTTCCCAACGCTTGGTGACTCATGGGCAGAAGTCTGCCCAAGCGAAGCAGAAGGACCCAGCAGCTGTGCACTGCCTGTGAGCCGTGAGTGCAGGAGCCAGTGGGATGCTGAGCTCAGGAACCCGATGGGGAAGAAGGAAGAATGGCAAAGGCCAGGGTGCAGATGCCTTAAGTGGACACACGCACACTGGCTCCTTCCTTTGTATTTATTTCATGGCTGGGGAGTTCAATTCTCCTCCCAATTGATCACCTGCCATCAAGTCGGATTTTGTACTAGATTTCCTATACCCTTATTTCAACAATATTGATAAACAGATTACATGCAAACAGCCAAGTCATGGCTGCCTGGGGGCTTTCCTGATGAAAATGGCTCCTTTGCTTCTAACCTCAGAGCTGGGGGTCTTAAATATTTTAGTGTTAATCTGACAGCAAAAGCATAAGCCCATGTGTCCCCTTCCCTCAGGGAGGGTGGGAAGTGGTAGAAGAGCCAGTCTCTCCCTGCACCGAGGCCACCAATACAATGCAATTATATCTGCTCTCTTCCCGGCACCCCGACGAGGCTTCAACAAAAAAGATGAAGAGCGTGGTCAAGTTCACCCCAGCTTTGGGTCTCAGCCCACTCTTCCTGGACACATCAATACTACGGTCTCCCAAACCACAAAGATGAGAATTCAGCATCTGCCAGAGCGGGGGAATCTTATCTCCACCCCCCATCGCCGAACATCCTCTAGGTCAGGCAGATGAAATCATAAATTTATAATACAACATTACTTCAATTTTCCTCTTCATTTACTGCTGTGCAGCCCAGCTCTGCTCGAACGGTTCACAGCCCCAGCCACATGGGGGAAATTGGCTGGCTGCATATCAATAGCACATTACAGCAGACCCGTGCAGACGCTCCATCAAGCCACATTACGGCGGGATGACCCAGCCACCACTTCCATTAGCAGCTGGGCCCATCCCACACTGGCCACTGCACAATTTATTTGCTCCAATACTCTGGACACCTGATCAATCCCACAGTAATTATCTCTTGTCACTAAAGTCAAAAAAACAAACAAACAAAAAAAACACAAGGCTTCTGCCAGAGTGACCACCTCTCTTGCAGATCGGCTTTCCATTGTAGAAGCAAGACACAGAAATCAACAATAGAATTTGGATTTGCCAGTGAGCTCATTTCGAGGCTCCATTTCGAGGATGCTGACAAAGTTCTCAAAACTGCAGTTCTAGTTCTAGATCTCTGCTACAACCCTAGGGACATTTCCCTTCTAGATGAGTCCATGACTCATCCTCTCCTGGGCTCTGTTGCTCAGCTACTCAGAGTCACAGAAAACGGCTCCCACCAGGCCCCAGACGTGAAAGAGAAAAGAGACAGGGCTGTTTATCCAGGGAGCTGCCGGAGCATGACACATTTGCTGCGTGATGTTTAGAGCACTGCCTGGGGCACCGCATCGGCTCCGTGAGGTCTGCAAACAGACTAAGCACCAAGTACCAGGAGTCCTTCCTAGGCAAGGATGTGAAGGCCAAAGTCTACAAAGATGCTCTGCCCCACAATCACGCTGAGTTGCAGGGGCTTCTCCACCCCTGTGCTGTCCAATTTAAATTATATGTAATTAAAAGTATCTAAAATGAAAGCTTCAGTTCCTCAGTCACAAATGCCACAACTCAAGTGCTCAGCACGTACCGGGCACAGGTGGCTAGTGGCTACCATAGCGGCCAGTGCAGACAGGACCTTCCCTCCCTCACAGGAAGTTCGATTGGACCGCTCTGCTCTCAGGGGACAATTAAGAGCTGAATTCTGGGTTTCCTCTGTCCACCAGGAAGTGGCTAAACAAAGGAACACTTCCTGGAGAAGAACCTAAACAGGTAGTTTTGGGAAAACCAGATCCCAATTGACACCGAGTCTAGATGTGTGATTTTCAGTTCCAGCCAATCTCCAATCTTTTGATCTGTTAGTGAACACCAGCAGATTATAGCTTCCTAGTTCCTGTTCTCAAGGATCCTTTACTTATTTTTTGCCTGCATTTCAGAGGGGCTTCATGTCAGGGAACACTGATTCAGGATTTCACAGCAGCTTCTTGGTACAACTCTGCCTCAGAATGCTTTTGGCTAGCATGCTTTGGCTGATCATCAGCATCTCTCCATTTCTGGGC